GGGGGGGGGGGGGAGGGAAAAGATGAGTACGGGAAAAAAAGAAGTAAAAACGACGGACAAAATTACTAGCGTTTGAGTAAAGTAGTTGATGACACTTAAAGGAACCGAAGGAGAATTCAATCTTCCGCAGCGCAAGCTTTTAAGTAGATGATTTTCGCGTAAATAGGTAAACGCAAGTGCCACAGACGATTCGCATTAACGTTTGCGTGCAATTTATGTGTAAAGCAATACATGAGACGCGAAGGTGAAATGACAGTTAAAGTAGCTGGAGTATCAAGTGTGCTTCAAGTACATATGTAATGTTAAGAAATGCTAATATCAAGCTGGTGAGTTTTTATTGAAAGAATCTAAAGAAAAAGAGCAGACTTTCGGTAGTTGATATTTCGCGAGAGAGTAGCAATGAATTTAATAAATAACTGGATTATTAGTTTATGAAAATATTGTGCTTTTGTCAAGTGAATTGTCCGAAAATTTTTGTACGCGTAAAAACAGATCCGTGTTAATGGTATAATGGATCCTCGTGGATAGTAAATTTTAATCTTTCCAACATTTTTTTTTTTTTCTAAATCTTTACAAGTTCTTGGTTGAAAAATGAATTTCACATGAAAGATTAAGTATTGGGTACTATTTTGCGACCGTCTAGCTATAGCGAATATTTACAAAAAAATCTATAAATATTCTAAAAGACAATGTTGTAATGGGATAATATAAAAATTCCACTTTATATATGGAATTAAATATTATTTAAACAAGAAAATACTGCAGTTCTATTCAGTTGCTGAAAGAATAATTTGTTGATAATAACAACATTAATTACATTGAGTAGAATGTAAAGTTGAGGCAAATAGGTCTTAAAGACTTGCAGAGGTAGGATTTATTTATTGAAATTAAGTACTCTAAGGAATTTATCAAAGAGTACAAACATCTTGCATCCAAGGTAATGTATAATGTTAATGTATTGAATAAGATTTCGAAAAACGTAAATGTTATAATAGTTCTGTACTCGGTATGCATTATAAGTTAAAAGTATTCTTACATAAGCAAATGAATAGAATTATCGTATTAAAAGTTTGCCAGGCTGAGCGAATAAATCATCGCTGCGAAAGTGAATTGTACGAACAAATGCAATTTATATCTTTCATCTCTTCGTCTCTATTTCCTTAACTAAATTTTCACCCGACAATTATTGTCCTTAGTCGTGTCAGGTTGATAAACTTATTAATAATCGGAAATACTATCCAGAACCGAAGCAGACCGAAGCGGAATAAAATGGCATCTGTTAGGTTGAGTATCGGCGTCACGTTCGTTTACTCAATTGCCATTTTGTTGCAACAATATCGCAACGGCGTAGTCGTACGTAAGGCTTAACAGAAACAATTGCCTTATTCCATTACAATCCTTATCAGCTTCATTTAGGAATCCTATACCCAACAAGATAACCAAGCAGATATAAAAGCAGCATAATAATTTCAGAATCTGCATAACGGATAGTAAGCGTAAAAATGGGGGCGGAGAGGAGGGGAAGCGAAAAAGAAAAGAAAAGAAAGTGGTTGCAAGGATGCCACGTAGGACACGAGTGACAATTAACATTGGTAGGGCTGTGAGAAAAGTACGGGAGAGATTATTGGCGAAGAAAAGGAGCGCTGACAAGAAATAGCGCGCCTCTAGCGTGCGAAGCGAAGCAATTCAATGAGACAGCATCTTTATATTATTGCATAAACGTAGAATAATTATAGGCGTGATAAGGAGGGTCGATAAAGTGGCTGTCAAGAGATAGATAGACGCAGGGACATTTGGTAGTCGGGTAAATAGCCAGCATTAGGCATTCGGCAATTCAACTTTTGACGTTATAATAATAATAATAATAATGATGATAATGATAATGATAATGATGATGATGTTGTTGATGATGATGATGACGACGATGATGATGATGACGATGATGATGATGATGATGATGATGATGATGATGATAATAATAATGATAATGATAATGATAATAATAATAATGATAAGAAAAATCCGTTGACGGAAATATGGATGGAGAAAATCTACCGACGTAGGCCGCGAAGTAGAGCGCGAGCGCAGCGGCGCTTGAATTATGTATTTGGGCGCACGACCTTGGTGAGGCCGGAGTGGAAATTCGTGGGGGGACGATATAATAATGCGTGTTACGGCCGAGAGGGTTAAATCAATTGTGTCGCTGGGACGTGGAGGAAGGAGCCGAGGACCGAGGAGTAGGCAATAAGAGCACAGTGACGAGCAGATATCGGCCCGATGATCGTCGTGCTCATCCCGTTCTTTTTGGGTCGGTAGCGTAGGCTCATCCTCAGACCTTCCGCTTCTGCCGTCTTATCCGTGTCCGCCTGGATCCTTAAGAGTTATAGTGGAATGTGCGTTGGTTTGGTTGGTTCGTGAATGCTTGTGAGGGGGCCGACGAGAGGTTCGGAGCCCTCTTACTTATTACTGACTTTCGACAAAATTTAACGGGCGCGAAGATTCGTGTCAAACGGCACTTCTCCTATATATCCGAAGGATCCATAAGTCGAAAATTATCGAAATCAATTCTGGCTAAAGCATGCGCTATCAGATAATTTACAAGAAAAATGCACGTCCTATCGAATAGTAGTATTATGTTTAATGTGGCTATAGTTGACGTAATTTTCTCTCTCTCTCTCTCTCTCTCTCTCTCTCTCTCTCTCTCTCTCTTGGCATTACTATCATTCATAAATATATGCTATAGAAATTTGCATTTTTCGGAAGGCTGGATTATTATATAATGACTGCTTATAACTTTAATCATATTCATTATAGTCGATTACAAAAAATATTAATAAATTCAATTGCATGCCCTTGCCATAATTTTCAGTCATTTTATCGATTATTTCATACACTTTTTGTAATAATAGAGTTATTTTACATCACAACGTTCTCATAAATATTAATAAATTAAAATGTATCATCTATATTATTAAAAAAATAATAATAGGTTATTATGATTCGGTAACGATTAATTTCTTATTTTATCAATTCGACGGAATTATTTTAAATCTTTATGAAAATTCTCCTCTCTCGATAAATTAATTTTTACATATAACACTTGCCAATTTCCAATTATTCATAATAATTTCCGCATCCACGTGTATACGCACACGTACCTACGCATTCCCACGCACAAATGCATGTATATGTAAGTATTTTTAATATAAGCTTTATATTCCTCATTTATTCATCGTGTTATCTTTTTGACAGAAATTGCTCTGAAATAAAATTACAAGTCATAATATATAATATGATTATCTCTTACGTTCTTTAAAGATAAATCACTCAATTTATTTTTTATTGAAAGAAATAGCTGTTTTATTTTAAGAGGCATAATTTACGATTTTAAAATAGAACTCTCTTTCAATTACAGTAATTACTCTTAAAAATCTCTCTCTCTCTCTCTCTCTCTCTCTCTATATATATATATATATATATATATATATATATATATAATTTTTATGTAAAATTATATTGAGAAAATAATTTGATTTTGATTTCTTTCAAATTTTTCACGAAATAATTGATTATGTGATTTTGAAAATAATTCATTGCGTGTGATGATTTTACAATTTATTAAATATAATTATTAAACAAATAATTAATAAAATTCAATGTGTTTTATAGAGATTGATTACTCTACAACTACTCTTTACAACTCAAACTTATTAAGAAAATTTATTACGGAACTGTAAAAACTGTATCCACAATCAGATACGGCATACATTAAATAAATTTTTTAATATTCCTTTAATTTCATTTACAAGAATTTTAATAATTTTATAGCATATTATGCTTATCAATATTTTTTATTCAATAATAACATAAAAATTAATTTTACACTTTTTATGTGGTTTAATTTAATTAGGAACTAGTTTTTAATTATCATAACTATCACCTAATTCATTGTGTCTCTAATTTTTTTTTTTTTTTGTTTTTTGTTTTTGTTGTGCAATATAATTTTAGAGTGCCTTGTATCAATGATAATTTTTAATAATTTTTCACTGTATTTGCAGAAGTAACATGTTCATAAATGATAGATTTTGAATTTTAAATCTCTTTAATCTTTAATGCAATTAATTTGATGTTAATTTATCGCGCGCATTCGACATTATTGAAATACATATATTTCATTCGACTATTATTGCAAACTTTAGCTTTTATTCAATTAAGTTATATTCGATAATATAAGGCCGCCTTTTCATAGAAATACTTCGACACGAATAATTGGGTTATTAATTATTATTTGCATAACTGTGCCTTTGAAATGGAAAAGTTAGACAGGAGTACTTTTAAGCCATATATTTATTGTTGAAACGTTGTTATTTAGAAATGTTTCATCGATAAAGACACCTATTCTTTCCCACTAAGTATTCCAGAAATAAAAAGGCCATAAACATTCTAATGCAATTGTTACTTTATATGAAAATTCTTACTCGTAATGCATTAATAAAATGAAGTAATTCTACTTCGTTCGTGTCAAACTTCTTTATGCAAAATTCAGTCACGAAGCTTTTAATAAATATAAAATAAATCACCATATCTTACCATATATTGTATAAAATAAAAAAAAAACAAACTGTGGCTTAAAACAATTATTCAAAATATGAAAGCTTAATCCATAAAATTATCGCGCTACACTTTCAATTACTTTACATGACATTTTCTTGTGGTCGGTAAGAAATAGTTTATTTCTTATTTTTTTACAAAAAGAGTGGAAGAAATTGTTTTGTTTAAAAAAAAAAAAAAAACTGATTCCACGACTATTATAATTTGCATGATCTCTTTATTTAATATGTCGCTAATGAAAGATTATTATTTAAAGTTAGAAAATATTGATCACGTTTTAATAAATATTATATGATTATTATACAAAAAAAAACTTATATATATATATATATATATATGCCTAATTTAATTTATCATTAATACTAATAATCTATTTAAACGTTATAAAGTAAATACGAATTATATTGAACTGACATTACAAGATTATATTCAACAATGACACTGTGACTACTAAACTAAAACCAATTTACTTCATCATTAATCGATATTATATAGTTTATTTTTATTTTCTCTATTTCTGTAATAATAGATGTTTATGAAATAATAATGAATTTAATTCATTGATTAAAATAAGACAATAATTTAAAATTGCATCGCTTTGCATTTTTTGAAAAAGCTTATTAGTAAATTAATAATTATTTTTAGCTGGCTAAATCGAACGTCAAAAATAATAAATAATGCACACAATGACTATTTAAAATCTTATTATATGCTATTCCATCATAATTCATTGTATAATAAATTTTATTTAACAATAAACTTTTATTTCTCAAAATTATTTCTTATTAATTTTAAGAATTTAAATTCTTTAATATAAAGATTAATTGATAAAAAGTAAAACATAATTTATAATCGCAAGTTTTATTTAATCTTCCATCCTATTTGTTAAAAATATGTTTATCTTTTTTCGTGATTTGTAAAAATGAGATTAAACATATTGAATAGTAATTATCTGCTATAATCTAAGTAAAATGATAAATTGACAATTTTCATGATATAAAATTTTCAACTTCAAATAAAGTCAACAATATTTTTGCATTCCAGCAATTACAATTAATTATAGACTTTAATAGACCTCGAAAAAAAAAGAATAAAAATAAAATAAAATATCAATTTAATAAGTTAAATAGTAAATGAAAAAAAAAAGTAAAACTTATTTCATAGAGTCTTTAAATAGTTATGGAAATCCTATTTAAGTGACAGAACCTTTGAGGCTAGAAAGACGCCTATAGCACCTTTACCATTGACTAAATGAAGTTACGACATTGCAAATGAAATTTAACTCCATAATTCTAAAATAATCCGACGAGCGAATTATTGTGCATTGCTTTGACTTATAATTACGAGGACGTAGGTATTTCATTATTTAAGACACGCACGCGCACACACCCACTCACACGCCCACGCACACACGCACGCACGCACACCCACACACCCACACACATGTATAATCATTTGTTGAATTTTCATTAATTTTTCAACTGTTAAACGATATTCCATTAAATATAAATTAAAGTAGAAATTACTTTTTTTCTCTAAGTATAATTATTCCACGCTTAAAGCGCACGTTAACTTTCATTTACACGTTGTAATGAAATTGGCAGGTTCATGCGCGCGACCCCAAGTAACGGCACATTAATATAAGGATTAATTTTAACGTTACGTACCATTGAAAGAGACTGCAATTAACGCACATAACAATGCATTCGAATCTTTCGACATTGGATAGATCGTTTGTCCTCGTTGCTTCGTCTATCGAAAAGTAAGCAGACGTTACTTCGCGATACTACTATCAATTATCGATTAATCGGATATTCCATCGATTCTCGTTATTTATTTATATATATATATATGTGTGTGTGTGTGTGTGCGTGCGTGCGTGTGTGTGTGTATACCTCGCTCTGTTGCGGTATTTTGCGTACTTAATTCCATATCATATTTACATTGAAAATCCAGCCGACAATAAATTCAGTGCAAATAAGGTGGTTGCGAGTGCCACAAGGGAAACATATCCGTACAAGTATTCGTGCAAACACGGGAAATTAATTCAATAGACTTTTCAGCGATTTGTTTGAAATAACGGCGATTCTTTTAATGCCGCGATGTGCGCTCGACTTTCATCACAATCTCCTTTTAAAGCAGCCACGCCAATGAGATGAAAAGAATTCCATTGATAAATAATCCGAGATCAGAAGCTTCGAACATTCGAATTTTCAATTTGCAGTACGGGAGGCTGTAGCGCTTGAGAGAAAGGTTATAATAAGACAATTCGATATTCGAAAAACAATCCAAAATAAACGTTATTAGGGCCATTTATCCCGAATAACTTAGTTCTCCTTAAAATCAAGTTAAACTCACGCCTCTCTCACTCTCTCGCGTCGAGCCTCCGGTTAGTCGGTCGATCCACTCGCAACCCGCTAAATTCCTCCGTCGGCGTATAAGAAAATCCCCCAACTCCCGAGTCCATCCATCCATTCGTCCATCCACCTTCTATTCCCTAATCCCCCGCTTTCGAAGAAAGGCCAAAGCGACGTTGGAGCGACGAACCCTTTCTGCCTCACGTACGCGTCCCGGCTAATTCGGACGCGCTAATCGCCCCGCCTCGGCCGCCGGCATTTCAGTCCCTTCGACTCGACTCCAGGGCGCTCGCGAAGAATATCCCGACCGAATGAATAATTGTTTGGATTCAGGCGGGCATTAATTATTCACGAGATTTTAAAGTCCAATCTAAATTGCAATCGGTATACTCGATTTTGAGCTTTAGCTGCGAAGCTGCGCCGACAACTCGCTCGAACCCTCCATGTTGCTTTAGATTGCAGACTGATAAACTCGCGTGGGCCACCGTTGATGCATTTCAGCCCGGACCTGCACGATCGTAAACAATGCTGTTTTTTCTTTATGTTTGTGAGCTGGCGAGGTGGGAAGGGGGGGGGGGGACATTTTTACTGGTCAAACAGTCGCGGTTAAATTCACCTGCTTACGCCTTTTGCCGATAATGTAATGTCTGGCAGTCGTTGCCAGCTCTCTGCATACGCGAACAATGTTATTCCAGATAATTTATTCAGAAGTATGTCGTTTGCTTTGGACTTTTTCTCAACGAGCTTACAGAACTCTCGGACGGTTACAATCAAAAGTCAAACGATGGCTTGGAGAGACAGAGAGAGAGAGAGAGAGAGAGAGAGAGAGAGAGAGAATGAGTTTTGAAAGATAGTAAATGGCGAATAGTACGGGAAGACGTTACGTAACACGTTAATATAGCAAATCGACAAACGATTCCTTAAAAAGTTACCTTAAAAGCGTAAATTATGAGTAAAATTTGCGCCGTTTCGCATGAATTATATAGAACGAAAGATAGGCGACATCTTTATGAATAAATTGTCGTGATAATAATGTCTCGTGTAAACAAAATGAAAGAACTTTTTATAAGGACTTTTTTATCGACATAAATAGCAATGCATACACTTTTTGCTGAAATAAAAGGTCAAAAATAAATAATATAAGTTCTAAAAAGACGATATGGTTAAAAACGATAATGTTAGATAAGAAATTTTCTTCTTAAATGTACTACGTTAAAAAGCAAATTATCGTTAAATTTTAATGCATATGATTATCATAATTTTCTTCTTTTATTTTATTTTTTTAAATGATACTTGCAAGAACTGAAAAATATTTCACATTTCATCGATGATATCGGGGATTATGTAGTTCATTGTTGTATTGAAAAAATTGATGAAATTTTATTCTACAATGAACTTAATGGAAAAAGAGTAATAGCGTAATATTTATATACACACAAACACTACATACACACATTTATTACATATCTCTCTCTCTCTCTCTCTCTCTTTAAGAGATGTAGCAATACGCTATAAACTTAATAATTATGATCCGTGTCATAAGCATAACGAGTAAATGTTTAAAAATATACATATAACATTCCTATGTTCCCTTGGGGGAAACTTTTAGAATGAAAGATGAATGGTTCTGTTCTACAAGAAAGTACGAATCTCAGTTGCAAATACACTTTTCCTTTCGTCTTATATTTAAACTATTTTCATATTTTAACCTTTGTAAATAAAATTGCATTAATAACGCCTAATGAAACGCCTAATTAAGAAGATGATATCTTTATGATTATACAACGAATTTGATTATACAATGATTTACAATGATAATAATAAAATATACGAGACAATATAAATGCATGAATCGACATAATGAAATGCGAGGATGGGAATAAAGTAGAGTCCCCGGAAAACTTGTCAGACCCAGGAGCCTCTTAAGCTACGATAAATTGCAAAAGTGGTTGATCGTGGCACCGGCAGCCTCGGCCTCGTTCTCGCGGTTCTCACTCACCAGACCTCACTTACAACCGAACGGTCTCTTGTTTCCTTGTGAACCGACGTGCAGCGGCGCAGCTCCGCGACAGCGTCTGTCCCCAGGGTGCGGCCGAGGCCAGCTACCGCTTCAGCGTCAACTCGACGGCGGTTTTGGCCGACAGCCACCGGGAGTCCGATCGATCGACCCGCTTCGACATGAGGGCCCAGCTCAAGTGCCGATTCCGCGGTCCAGTTTCCCTCATTTGCCGGATGAGCGACTCGCGAGCGGTGAGTACTCCTGCGCCCGGGGCCAACGCCCCCTTAGTAATTAGCCGCCAATCGGGCTATTTCGTATATGGGAATGGAATGTGGAAATAAAATTGACATCGATATGAGGGACTTGACAGCTACGTTGTTTGAACGTCGGTTCATTAATCCCTCTGATTAAGTTATATGAAAAGTACCAAGTTCGTTCTTAAGCTCATGCGACCACGTTGTGCTTGCGTGGTCTCTTGTAAGTTGCGTGTTTTTATGAGATTGTCGAGTGATGTCGGTCGTTACAAGGACACTAGGTTCCACTAGGTGTTAATGCTCGTGATGAGGAGAATCGTGCGTGTATATGTCGGACTAATGGCAAAGCGTCGTGATTTTCAAAATAAGCATGTAAGCATGAAGATGTTGGTACGCGGCGGGCGGGTGGGGGGAGCGGATGTTTCGACAAAACCTTTAATGTCGTATCCGTCGCTAATTCGAATGGATTATCAAAATACTGGAGTTCGGCAACTTTTGATCTAAGATTAGACTGTAGGATGGGAGGCTGCGGATACATTAATCGTCGTTGAAGATGCAACATCGCTAAAAATATTTTCGAAATATTTAAAATTAACGGAGCCAGTGAATGCAGAGTTAAGCGAGTAATCGAGCTAAGCAATGGATATATATTCGTTATAAATCGTTATTTTTGTAAATGATTCATCTTGTTTCTTATCGATTAAACGTCATTTAACATTTTACAAAATATATGTAACGTGCAATAATTTTGTCAATCTTCATTATGTACTTTGAGCAACATTTATTAGAAGTATTCGAAAAATTATCTTAATACACGTCAACTCTGCCGTTATTGTAAATTATTCTATTCTATTTTATGTAATAATACTTTTCAAGGGCAGAAATATCATTAAACTTTGTGCGCGTGTGTGTTTGTGTAACATTGTCGTTATATTACTTCTATCTACTTTAAAAGTAACATTTTAATTTTCTACTCTTCATTATAATTTATTTATCGCAATTAATAATGGAAGTAAATCGAGGATTTAAAAGATTTGAATTTGAGCATCTAAATCAAAGTATTAATCGGTGATAAATTATTAATTCTCATTAATATAAAGTGTTTTCGGGAAAAGCAAATAAAAATTACATTCTAATCTCGGATTTATTGATAAAAGCTCGTGCATAATGTGAATTCGCATTAAATGAAACTAATGAATTTCTTATTTATTCGATTGTTATTCGATAAATTATGCATATATTTTTGAAGGTGCAAATTAAATTAAACAAGTAAATTAAATTTTCGCAAATTATTGTAATAGTTAGAAGGAGCTTTGAGCCTAAATATCACCAAAATATTATACGTACAATAATTTTATAAAAATTTATCATAATGCAACGATTTGTTTTAAATATCTTCGAATGCAAAAACGTACATTTAGACGAGTGACAAAAGCTGACGAGAAATTATCCATTTCGTTGTTATAGAACGTACAATCGTTACGTATAATAATTTACGTCAGAATTTTTATGACATCTATTCTATTTCTCCAAATTACGTGTGAACTAACAAATCCTCCTCGTCAATCGCCTCCGCCTTCTACGCCAAAATGATAATTACATTTTCCATTTTACACGCGATCCCTAAAAAACCGCGCATAAATCCTCGCTCAAATTGCGTAGACGTAATTTTTCGTATTATAATTTATCACCTGGTGCTGTTCGATAAACGATTGTTGACACGTACACAAGTCCCTATCCTTTTCTAAAGCTCCCATTGAAAATAAATTGAAATACCATGCGTTGGTTGCGTATCGACAATTCCATCCTTACATTATCAGTTTTATACTCGTGCAGCTTTATCGTTTTAATTTCTTAATGGAAATGACAATGCGTACTAAATTTGAATATAAGATTGGATCGAAGGTTATTTATCAGCCGTTATAAGCATAATTGCGTCAATGTGAGTGTGCCCATAATGTAGTGTTAAAAATTAAAATTAAACGTACATGGATACACGTGATCGGTAAATTTGGACTATTCGCGAACTTACACGCACACATCGCGCTAATAGATATAAAATCCATAAGCCTCGACTAATATCGAGGCTTGATAAAAAGTGTATAATGAAAGAGGAGGTTGGGGAATGGGTGAT